CAACCTAAATACAACGCCTGATGTCAAAGCAATTTCCAAGTAGATCTTACTTAAAGGACGAAAGGTGCAGCGAAATTCTGCTGGCGTACCAACCTATTCCCTCCACAAGGATTTGAACCAAATTGCTCAGACAATACTTATGCTTATTCTGCACAACATAAGACCTCGTAGCCACACTACCACACTTACTTTAGATACTGCACAACTTCTGTACTTTATCTTGAGTGGAAAAAGTGTGTGCGCCACACAAATTATTGCAAATGAGATGAAAAATGTAGTTGAAAGTGGCAGAGAAGCTGGGACAGTAGCCAAATCTTCGTGTCCTCTGGTTTTTCCAGGTATTATCATGGGGTTACTATGCGCATCCCGCATGGTAATACCAAACCAGGTGCACCATACTTTAAAGGGGGACGGTAAATGATGTATACATTACCCGGTTCTGCAAGATAGACACCACAACTAGACAAACCCCAAGAAACCCTTCATCGGACAACTTGAACTTTAATGATTGGGACCCTCGATTTCGGGCGTCCTTCTCATACACGTGGGACCACAAACTGAGCCATGTCTAGCATTCAGGATTCCTTGTATAGGTTGCAGTTGCAAATGGGGAGGTTGAAAGACGTTGCTCATCAGATTCTCACCCCTGACGCGTACCGCACTCATGTTTCCTGGCCTGGGGACAGGCCATTTTATTTAGGAGGCTTACTGACTTCGGTAATTCATCCGGTAGTGGTAATAATGAAGCTGAAGCAGAAGCTGATGAAGAAGAGGTGTTGCAAACCAAAATCTACCCTCTTGTTTCTAAACCTAACTGGCTTGTGCTTCTCATTTATATGCATCTCCATTAGGTCATGATAATCACAATCGTTCATCTCATTAGGCTTCTAAGGCAAAGGATCAAGGTATTATGTACAAGCTAAGGTTTCTCTATTCCTGTGAAACCCTCTTCCTCATTCAGGGATGCTTCAAGTTGCTTCTTCATCAGTCACGTCTAGACTCTTGGTCAGGGTAAACTTATTGTTCCTCAAGCTGCAAGGTGCTATTCTATCAAAACTCACCAAGAACGATTGGATTAGGGTTTTCTCTGGTACAAATTATGAAATTAGAATTTATCAGATTTAGATGATCATATGCCCTTCAATGTCACTTGTTTCAAAGTCTTCAATGTCACCAAGTGGTCCGAGTTTAAGTATTGGTTTAACCAGGAAGGCTTTGAATTAGAATTGTCAAGCCACTTTTTCATCTATGTGCATTTAAGGAAGGAATATTAGGGTTTCTTACCTTGGTATTTGAGCTTGATAAATGTCATTCAGTTGAAGTTCATTGTAAAGTACAAGTTGATTTGGACTTGAGAGTGAAGTTTAGTTTGGATTCTTTAAAGGGTAGCGAATCTTTGAGTCTATTCTAATCAAGTTTGTTAAGGATTGAGTGAGAGATGCATTTAAATAGACTTCTTAGCAAACAAGTTACTTGGGGTTCACGACATGATCATTTGGTTTTTATTTGACATCAAGTCATATTTTCAAATAATGGTTTTAGACAATAAGTGTTTCAAGTGTTTCAAACTTGTTTAGAAGACATTCTTAGGATAATGGTCTCAAGTTTGAAGTTGGTTTCAACTGGCGATTATTCGTATTGGAATTGTGTAACGTGTGGAATCATTTTCAAGCCATGTTTTCAAACCATAAGAGTTTTCAAGTCAATATTATCTTCTAGCCATTTTGGAAGAGAGAAACCAAGGTTGCATTCAATTTCAAAGGAAAATAATTACAAGACCAAGTTGGATTCAAAGAGACAAATTCAAAATTCCAAGTTACCGTTTTATTCAAATTCAAATTTTAAGTCACTAATTCAAATCCAATTTCAGATTTGCAGTCAATCCTTTCACAAGAAGGAAACTATAGAAGGCTCTAATAAGACACCCACTTCTGATACTAACATTTTCCCTCTAATGATGAAAACTCTGGAAGAGATGCAACAAGAACAACAGAAAGTCAGAACTCGACTTGATAAGCAAGATGAAGTCAACACCAGCATTAAGAATATGCTTGCCCAACTTATGCAGAGGATTCCTCCTCCCTCTTCTCAACCTTAGGCACTTATGCATTACCTTTTAGATTTTTGATTTCATTTAGGTATTTCTCTTCTGTATCGTTTTTGCATCACCTTTAATATATATGACTTTTTTATTATGACAAAAAGGAGGAGTAGAATACGAAATAATTTTGATATATATTTGTTTCTCTAATCTCAACGCTTACATTTTAACCTTAATACATATCTGCAAGTAGATTTATGTCTCTTTCAGGAACCTTCTGAATAAATCAAGCCTGAGAGAAACATTGCAAAAGGTTCTGATACTTCAAGCTTTGATAAGTCAACTAGGTTCTAATGATAAGACTGCTATAAGACAACCAGGTTCTGACTTAGAGGGAGCTTGTTTATCTCAGAGAGAGTTTTCTAAATTAACTCTGATATTTTCCTGAGTTCTAATATCTCAAGCATATATCTTTTATGTACACAATGTTCCATAAAAATACATTGTCTTGTCATCATAAAAAAAAGGGGGAGATTGTTAGAGCAAGATTTTGGTTCTGCATATAATCTCTAAGTTTTGATGATAACAATGCATATATTTTATATGTAACAATTCGGTACTCTAATGATTTTTTTCTGAAGTGTGCTGTCATCAATTTTAAATTCTGAATAACTCATGAAGTTTCATCAGGACCCTTCTTGCACGCCTCAAGAATTTATTGTGTTCGTCTCTAAAGAAACATTAGCAGTTCTGATGAATGTTGAATGCCTCTGAAGAAAAAGAAAGTTACGCGCTTCTAAGAAAAGATTCACTTTTGACTCTGATACCAAGCTCTGATGACTCTAAAGACAAGGTTCAGTTGAACAAGTTCTGAAGGTTCTGAAGACATTATTTTTAAAGACTTATGAAGACTCTGATTCCTTTCAGCCATTCTTCTTCTGGACTCTTATCACTTCACATCAGATAAAGTTGATTAGAAGATAAGGTCAAAGACAGAAACGTGTGATGAAAGAATCCGTACTAAAGTTCATTCCAATTTCGGTATAAACTGATTTCACGTCAGTACTGCTATATGGGATATGGTGAGACTTTACGAGTATTATCTCTCACAGTCTCGTTATTACCGTTGCAACAGTTGGCTTCAAGATTTACGCTTGTACCATTCAACGTTCAAACATTCAGCTATATGAAGTCTCAACCCCATTGCAAGCAAGAACATACAACGATCAAATTTGCAAGTAAAATACGCTAAGTCTAGAAATCCTATAGAAACACAAAGAGTTGTTGCTCATATTTGTGTAATACTTTATTCTTAAATCTTGTTTCATCTGCTTATATAAAGGCAATTTTTTAAACACTTTATTTGTATCTTTGTTGATATTATTTTCCTCAAGTGACTGAGTGTTAGTCTGTAAACTTGAGAGGGCTAAGATGTTTTTCTAAACACTTAGACGAACTTGTTGTGATTTGTCTAGGTTATTGGATTAAGTCCTTTTTGAAGGCAAAATCACTTTGGCGGATGGATTGGAGTAACTTTGTTAACAGTGAATCAGGATAAAAATCTTTGAGTCTACCTTTCTATTCTCTTTTGTTACCCCTGGTGTTAAAAATTTACGTTTGATATAAAACTCAATTCAAACCCCTCTTTTGTGTTTTTTTCCTACCTTCGTGAAAAAGAAAGAAAAAGAAAGTTATAGATTAAAATACCAATCTAAATATATTTCTGCAATGAAAATGAGGGACACAAGATTGAGATACCAATCTTTCTATGTTTCTGCATAAGGATATAAAATAATGTGTGAAAAAGCCAGTGTTTATGCATGTTGAGGTTAAGAATGCATATGATTTATGATAGTAAAGAATTGCATATCATACAAGAACAATATTCAGATGATGCTATGCATCTAGAAAAAAGATAACCTAGTCCATTCTTATATGGAGAGATCTTCTTTCCCAACATAATTTTGGAGGGAAAAGATTAAAACTATAAAGCAACCAATACCACAATACACAGAGAACTCAAAGATGGAGGAGAAATAAAACAAATTAGAAACTTCGAAAAAACACAGACAAGGAAGAAGAAACCCAACAATATGTGGAAAGACCAAGAAAGCTTGGAAGAGGCCAAGATGCACTAGAAGATGGAGACCAAGATAAACTTGGAGGTGGAGCTGCCACCACAAATTCTAGCAGACATGTAGTGAAGCTACAAAAGTCCTCTAAACTTTGTTGAAACATACATGCACATTATCGTATATTCACAATCATACTTCCAAACAACATTAAACATAAAATGGTTGGAATTCAAAGTGGCATAACTAACTCAGAACCCAACATTCAGCCTGTGAACTCATTCCACACACAAGGTGAGAGACAGTGGGAATGAGGAGTAGAGAGCTGCTCGAAAAAATAGGGAAAGGAATCAGGAAACAAATAGTCTGCAAAGAAACAAATTTTGTTCTATCACAGTCAAAGACCTGCCGAAATAAAATTTGAAAATTTAATTTGCAAATGTCTAACTAAAAACATAAACTTGAATGCGCTTGCTCCGCCTAAACAAGTTTTACAGCGCAAATTCTGTTCAAAAGAAAGAAAGAGAAAAAAAGTTATCCAGCATTAATGCTGTCCAAAAGGGAGCGAGGAAAAGAAGGTTTTGCAGCCTCCAAGAAGCACTCAATAAACTGCCATTTTAACAACACAACCATGCCAAACAAAATTAATGGCAGCTTCTACAAGTTCTTCCTTAAGTGTAGTCAAGATTTCCACTCCCTTTCTAGCCGGTTCTTTCCTCTGTCTCCATTTCTATGTTGTATGTTCACCAAAATTTTCCTAGGGAAGGAATGCATTCCTGATTATGAAGAAAGGAGAAAGAAAACAGTATGCAAGTCTGATCATAGAAAATATTTTCTCAACCTCAAAATGGCTATGATGCATTTATCAAATTATCACCTTGTTTTGTCTACTCAAGATCAAAGCACTGTGTGTTCTCTGAACACTCCATAAACTCAACAGATGGATGCTCGATAGCTTTTCTCCCAAATCCATCACCAAAAGATCCAAATTCGACTTCATCGTCATCGCTGTCAACAGTATCTGGAGTCACGCGATTCTGATAGCTTCTCAGTTGAATAAGATATACATTGAAGTAATAGTTGACCATGTCTTTTCTCGTCTTCTTTTGAAAGTATTTGGACGGCTTGTTCCAAAAAGACTTGTTTTGGGAGGGGATATTTAACCCCATTGCATCCTTAAATTTCTTTTCTTCTTCAGCTGTCCATCGAAGTGAAACTTCCTCACCCATTCGATCAAATCCCCATCGGTAAAATACAGAACCCAATTCAAGTTTCAGTTTCATCCTGTTTTCAGCAATATGAAATCTGACACAGTCAACAGAACCTTGAACATTGCAGCTGCACTTTCCTCGTCTTCCTCTCCCAACAAGATCTGTTTCGGCAGTAGCTTTTGAGTCATCTTTAACAGGGCATACTTGTGTGCCTAACCATTTAGAGTCACTCTCAGAAGCTACACCAGTCCATTCCGGGACCTCCGTTTGGAAACGATGACCGATAGAAACACTCTTTTCACGAGAATCGTCACTAGTTGGGTCAGATTTTTCCTTTACGGCTACATCTGGTTCGGCAGTTGATTTTTTCTTTTCGGTTACATCAGGTTTGGCAGCAGATTTTTCCTTTCCGGCTACTTCTGGTTTGGCAGTTGATTTTTTCTTTTCGGTGACATCCGGTTTGGCAGCAGATTTTTTCTTTTCGGTGACATCCGGTTTGGCAGCAGATTTTTTCTTCTCAGACACCCCTCCTGGTTTGGCAGCAGATTTTTTCTTTTCAGACACCCCGCCTGGTTTAGCAGATGTTTTCTCCAGAGAACATTTATTTTCACTACCAGGACATGAATTGCAGCAAGTACAGCGAGACTTAACAGAGATAGGAAGCCTTTCACTACATCTCAATTTCTTTGAACTCTGGCGACGAAGAGCAACAGGATCCTCATACATGGCAGGATGCATCTTAACCTTCTGTAAAGCATGCAATTTCAGAAAATTCAGTTGATTTTTTCCACACAAAACTTGAAGTTAAATAAATTTCATTTTAAGATATTGTTTGCTAGCAAAAGTAATTTTAGATGTTTTGATATCAAAGTCATAAAAATTAGTGATTCGTTGAAAAATCTACTATGGAGGTTGTAAGAAATTATAGGGATTAAATACTCTCAGAATGTGTGGGTTGAGACTAACTCATCCCTACAAAACCGCAAAACCGGCTTGTAAGGTGAGGATTGCCCCTCCTTATAAGCACAACACAGGTCATATCTCTAAGCAATGTGGGACTAAATCCACCCCTTCAAACCCAACACAATGACGGTGTTGGAGGCTGCAATGAAGGCAAACCAAATGCCACAATTTAGGCGACTAGGGGCGGATCGCAATGAAGTCGGAAATTCCAACAAATACAGGTCGAACTAGTGCATTTCAAAGTTATCACTCGTCTTTCGTGAGCTTTATAAAAATCCATAAAAGTGACTAATGGAATTTATGTGAATTAATAGAGCCACAAGGAAAATAACATAACAAAGATGACCTACAATATCATTTCAAGTTACTAACCCAATATCTGAAAAATTATGGATTTTGTCAAAATCATCACAGTGGTAAGTGCTTGCTCTTAAACCAGTAGGTATTTGTTTAAAACACTCAACAACACTAATCCACAGAACACCGTAAACTAAACCTTTATTAGACATGATTTCTGATAGGACATTATAGCATTGTTTTCCATGTAGCCAATCATATCATCTGTTAAAGGAGGTATCGATGAATAGACAAGGCATTACGACATAGCAAGTAAATGTACACTCTCTTTGAAGGAGGCTTAATACCATGGTTATCAAACCAAGATTCAGATCGGGATTCAAATTTGGGTTATTTTGGACTACTTGATTTTGGCCGATTCTGTTCCTTTTAACCAAAAAAAAAAAAAACTAACAGGCCTTTTGCAAAACAGGTTGCACGGCCCGGTCCGTTCCACGGCTGTGTCCGTGCAGAACGTGAATAATGTGATTTAGATAGAGATGAGGGGGGTAGACACCTAAAGTCTTTTAGCTGACCGACCATGTAGCAGTGATGATTCATCACAATGAATGCAGATTCTCATTGTGATCTCTATCCAAAATATAGATACGCGCATCAAATGGTATCTAATTGATATATGACTCGCATGTATCGTAGGATACTGATAACCCGGCTTAATAATGCAAAAATCGTTTTTCTCACTAATTAATGAAGATAGATTTTTTTTCAATGTTTGACCATGATATCTTTCTCATTGTGAAGTGCCTCGGTTAGAACTGTAAATATGAGGGCGGTCATTTTATGGACTGAGCCAAAAAAAAAAACTATCCAATGTCAATACTATACATTATTATTGCATTAACCTTAGTTGACATTTAGAGGCTAGCAAGCAAGAATTTGGAATGTGTAGATTATTTTAGGAAATAAACAGATGGATTGCGTGCGAGTGTATATTTATTACATGAGCAGAATTAAGTATATTGTAATGCTAATCATAAATACAATAAAAAGATAACTAGTTATTCATGTGAAAACATTCTGGTTCAAGATACTAAACGACACAAAAAAATCCAATGTGTAAATTCATGCATAAAATCATTAAATCCATTGAAATTATACCTGGGAAGATGATCCGCTGTTTGGTTCAGCGTGCTTTTTCACCGAGAGAATGTCTCTTGCCTTCAGCAGTTGAAGGAAAAAGTCCTGACCTCCTTTATAGTTTTTCCACTTTGAAGGTTCTGGCAATGGTTTTGCTGCAGGATCAAACGGATGCTTTGCAATATGCCTCGTCCAGTGTACCATTCCTGACAATGATTCTCGCTTACGTTTGCGAGAATTAAATTCCTCAGCAGAAATTTCCACGCAACAGGCATCCTCTTCCTTATCAGCATTACCAAACATTTTATCATCATCATCACTACCATCAATCTTTTGATTAACCAAATCAATATGCTTGATGATATTACTTGGTTTAAATGGGACAAAACGGTCATGTCCGTCCTTTAGATTCGAGCACAAAAGGCTTCTGAATTCTTTCTCCAGATTGAAAGTTTTCGTGAGCCAGCCTTCGAAACCAATCAGATATTTATCATAAATCAATTTAATCGAAGCCAAAAGACGAAACTCCAAACCCAGCTCAACTATAACAGAATCCCACAACCCTTTTCTCGATACCACATCATACCCACCGTTTTCCTTCACAAGAGAGAAAAGTTGGTATAAGTCAACCAAACGACCGTCACCAAGCACCACCGGAACAGGCCTCACATTACCTCCACTACGATCCTCCTTAAGGTAAACCGAAAAAATTTGACAAAACAAAGACTTTTGTTTCGCTTTGTCATAATCACCACTGTCAACCCGATCCTCTACCAGACAACCACCATTACCACGAAAATCAACGCGATCAAGGGAAGACCCGTTTGCCATGAACTTATGACTCTCTATATCTACTTCAATGCTAGATATGTTTTGAATTTGAGCACAAAAATAAAGGAGGCAATGACAAACACACAAAAAACAAAGTCCTAGGTATACGTTGATGATACAGACACAGAACAGCAACAATTTACAATGAAAGAAGATCAAGATATAACATTTACATATACTGATGAAATAGTAATGTAACAAGTATACAAACAAAATTGACAATAGGTATGTATGAGCAGATTTACCTAATACATGAAGAAAAAAATCGGCGGCAACAACAATGAAACGAAGGGTTTCTAGAACAGTGTGAAAAGATAGATACAATACAATTACATTACAAGATCGAAACTGAAACTGAAACCTGAAAATGATTGGTACTTGGTTGATTGATGGTGGTGCTGCGGTTGAATTTCAAAGGTGAAATGAGAAACGCGAGGTGAATTGGATTTGGAGATATCATTCAAAAGAATGAGAAATAAATGACAAAGTGAAAGTGAAGAGATTATGAAAATAAAACCCTCTTCTTGTCTCAAGGTGTTTTTTTTCACTAGCCTCACAACACAATTTTTTTTTCTTACATTAACAAACATCAAATTATTTGTTTGTATTTATAATGCTAAGTTTTAGGGTTATTAATTGGGTGGGCCATACACGATTTTAGCCCGGTTCGAGAAAGCCCGATTTAATTATTTCGGGTTAATTTTATGATAAATCAAATATTATATTTAAAAGGTAAATCGAGTTTAAAAAGATATATTGAGTTGTAAAAACTGTTTTGACTCGTAAAATTTATAATATTTAAAATGACTAATAAGTTTATTATTTATCAAAAGTTCTTTTACTTTTTATTAAATATATTAAAAGTTACAAAGTGAAACTATGATATGAGAATGTTTAGTTAAAGAAAAGTAAAATTAATTTAATGTTTTGATTGAATAACTTTTCTGTAAGTTCTTAGAGAAAAACGAAAATATGGTAGGATAATAACCACCAAAATCATATGATGATGGTGGAGATGGTGACTCTGACAATCAAAAGATATTGTTTGAAGATAAATTTTTCAAGGAGTGTTATTTTCTTCATAAGTTTTGATCTGACATGATCAGAAGGGGACCAAAGACTTGCCACACGTCTTTGACTTACTGCCTGTTCACTTGTGTTGAAGAGGAGGAGGGGGTGTACCTGCAAGACACTCTGATGCCAAAGTAATGGATTGGACAAAGTGAGAGCAAATACAAAAAAGGGGTAAGAAGTGAATACCTGACCCTCTTAGAGAATAAGGTATTTATAGAGAGACCTCATCGCAGGGCCAACGGTCATTTGAGTTGGGCTGGATGGTCAGGCCCAACCCAAGTGACTGTTAGGGCTTACGTGGCGTAGTGAAGACCATAACGTGGTATTCGCCCTAGTTCAACTGCTCTGTGAACTTCGGAAAGTGGGTTAATCTGCTCTTTTAGAGGTGGGCAGTTGGTGGATGACGTGTCCTCGCGGAGGGGAGCACGTGGAGAACGTGTGGAGGACACGTTGATCTACTCGACAAGGGAGGAGGTTCTGCCCGCGGAGGGAAGGTTCTGCCCGACGAGGCAGTGTCTGGTCGACGGGGAGTCTTGTGCTCAACACAGATAAGGAAGGTTATGCCCGACGGGGCAGTGTCTGGTCGACGAGGAGTCTTGTGCTCGACACAGATGAGGAAGGCTCCTTTGGGCCTTCCCCCAAGTGTATGTGGGTTGGGCCTTCCCGGTCAGGCCGGGGCCCAGGCCAGAACAAGTTTTATGGTAAATGTTATTTCTTTTATGAAGTATTATAAAATCACCAACATTAAATCAACAAAGATCGTATATGATTCGTTGTGTCTAAAGTATATGATTCCTTATAAACCAAAGTTAACATATATGAGTAACCTGTTTGCAAATATTTTTGAGATGATTTTGAACTTGAAATTAGCCAAATTTATGAGCCTAAATTTGTCTACGAGTCTGCTTCCTTGGTCTTAGGTAAGAGGATGATATTGTTGGAGTTGTAATTAGGAAGGATTCATACACTTTTAAAGAATTTCAAGATTGCACTGTATGCGTCTTTTTTTTATAATGTTCGAATAAATTTGAAAAAATACACCGCCAAAACCATCAGGGTCTGAGGCACTATTCTGGTTGAGATTAAAAATTGCATGAATAATTTATTATATGGAGGGAAACATTGTAAGCAAGTTGTTCATAATGTTGTTAACAAGGTTTAGGATGGACTCATCAACCATATACAGATCCTGAGATGTATCTGTAAGACAAAACATAGTCAAATAGTTAACAACATGATTGGCCATATTATTAAGGTATTTAATGATTGCACATCCATTTCTTAAGAATGAAATAGAATTTCTAGAGCTCTTGATTTTTTCCATTCAATGAAAGAAAACGGTGTTTTTATCACCCTCCAAATGCCATAGAACCTTAGACTTCTCTAACTAGGGCATCTCTTCTTTGGAAAGGACTTTCTCAAGTTTAATTTGAGAAAATTTTTCTTAAGCACTAAAGGCCTCATTGTTACCATCCATGTCAAGTTGGTCATGGATGATGATTTTCTTTTCATTTGAGGTCTTGGCCAGGATGTGAATGTTTCCAAAAACTTTTTTATTCCATGTTTTAAGATTGGTTTTGAGCAACTAGAGTTTTATTTTAAGAATGTACATAGGACATCCATTGGTAGGAGTTGGCTAGTAGTTAGCCTATGGAGTCCAATAAATTGAAAGGAAAATTATCTATATTCCTCTGAGTGTTGGTGTAAGACCTAAAAGCCAATAGTTTTATTAGAATTTGGTACTTGTATCAAATTATTTATTAATAATAAAAGGAATTTATTTGTTAAGTTTGTTTTTACAAAATAATAAAGTCCCTAAGATAGTTAGTCCGTTTAATAAAACATTAAGTGTGGCTTAAACATGAAATCCCATTAAACATAAGACCATTATTCTTAAAGTATTCATAGTCAAGCTTTATTATAAAATGGGATAATACTAAATCATTGAGACTATTATGTGGGTAGAGTGATGATCACGTCTCATGGTTCGTGGATAAGAGTTATCAATTATTCACATAGATATAAATATTAAGAATAATATTTATACTGGATTGACTCACCATGAGAATACTACATAGAATGTTATGCAAGTGTCATAAGTTATTCTCAAGCTGATATTGGTGTATATCACCCTTCGATCTGAAACCACTATGGATCCTAGATGTGGAGTCAAGTACTTTATTTCTAATCAAACATTGTCCGTAATAGGATAACCATAAATGTGGTTGATGGGTACTTCGCAAATCATGTTAGGAGACATGAGCGACTTAGATGGAATTTGCATATCCCGCGTAACATGATATATGTATAAGGGTCCAATATTGAACTAAACAAGAGTGACACAGTCTATGCATTGTGTTCAATATAGGCATGAGGGAAAAAGGGTAATTATACACACAAACACTATCACATAAAAGTTTTATCATATCACATGACATTTAGACACTTGGGTATTAGTTATGTGTTGTTAGATAATGCTCACTATTTATTACATTTAATATGTGATTTAGTATAATTACCAACTGCCGTAACTGCAAAAAACCACCGGCATAAAAATAGAAGAGTCGCCACTTTCGTTATTTATCCCAAAGAGAGGGAAAGGAAACGATCGCAAAAACCTAAAGAAAAAGGGAAAGACAAGGTCATCGCAACCATGTCTGGGTTCGGGAGTCGGTTACGCAAGGGGAAGGTATTAACACCCCTCACGTCTGTCGTACTCGACAGGATCCACGCTTATTGTCTATCTAAAAAGGTGTGTTGAAACTATCTAGCTAAAGACTTAAGGACAAAAGAAAAAGAAAAGACAGGACTCGACATAGCATCGCTGCTATGGGCCTACGTACTCCCTTGTGCAATGGGAAAGTCAGAGTCAACGTAGTTCACCTAAGTACGGCTAGAGAAAGGGGGAAAGGTTGCTCGCCGAGACATCGCGTCTCGTGCCTACGTACTTTTGTCTGGTACAAAAGATCAGAGCAAACGTAGTTCGGGATAAAAGGACCACACGTTGGTTCAAAGTTTTTTAGGCCCGAGTAGGGTTAACAAATAGTTCTAGCAGTTGGTGTATGCAACTCAACCTTTGGAGACTTAGGCGTTACCGTTTGCGGTAGAACTAAGAGTTAACGACACTCTTGTTGTAAAAAGATTTTCCTTGATTAAGAACCCCAAAGGGTGAAAAAGAGTTTGAATTGTTTTTTGTGTTTTTTAAGAAAAGAAGTGTTTTGAATTTGATTTGTAACTCATGTCGCACTAGAGACTATGATCTAAGAGCGAATGCGTCGCATATCACCCAAAGGGTGTACACTAAACACTCTAGGTCCTTGAGAGGGGGCCTCTAAATTACCATTTCTCAAATAGCTTAAGGCTCGTAGCGTGCTACAATTGTCATTCTTTATTAAGTGTTTTATGAATGTTTGGAGATGAGAGGAGAAGAAGGAACACTAATGGGAGACTAATCAATCCTAATATCATGCAAAGTGAACCTAAAGTTGATATTCAAAAGGGAACTACCTGATGTTGTCATTCATAGTTAGGCACCTAATGTCTATCATAACCTTAAGAGATTAGAGGACTTATGGGGAACATGGCAAAGAAAAGTAAAAGAAGAAGAAGAAGAAGAAGAAGAAGAAATGCATATGCAAATGAGGATGCAAACATAATGCAACACATAGAATGATAGTGGGAGGAAAATAGTGTGGGGCAGTAGCCACCACAAGCTCATCTCAACCAAGCATGCATATGTAAATGCAAGAAAAGAGAAGAAGAAGAAATGCATAAGAAGAACATTAGACAAACACAAGTAAACTTCACAAAGATGCACCAAAAAGTGGGATGAAATGACCTAAGTCAAGCAACATCAACCACACCAATAAAATCAAACCAAATGAAAGGGAAATTAAACACCAAAGCCAAGTGAGGATGGGAGACCA